TATAGATTAATAAACTATATAATATAATTTTTCATAGCGTAATTATAGTTTGAAATGATCTTTGACTTTGAATACATTCCACTCTATATATTATTCTTTTTTATTTCTAGCTTTGTGAAATAATTTACTAGGGAAATTGTTCCCGCTTTACCAATGTACTCTTTTCTTTTTCTTTTCGTTATAGTTGGTTATAGTTAAAGTATTGAAGTTTCCTAAAATCGAAGACGCACTTGTGTTTAAAGAATGTTGATACGTACATGATAACACGTGTTGGAACATATAAGGAAGTAAAAATAAAACTTTAGTGATCATTTAATTTCTGCAACAGTGTTCATGACGCCTGACATTAGAAAAATGCAGAAGGTTGGAAAATTGAATCCTTCGATTGATATTATTCCATTACAAGGATCTAGTGGAGATTATAAATCAAAAACTATGAATAATAAACATAAAATTGATTCTTCTCATAAATACTTGCGGGATCAATTACTAATATCACGTGTACAAACGGTGATTGAATTATTTTATAACTTTTAGAATTTTTAATTTAACAAGTGTCTAAAATCAACACTTTTTATATTATGCAGTTTACGTGGTAAATTTATGCATTGAACCTTAAAATATAATATGCAATAACTGTGTAATACATATAAATTATACAAACTAGTTAAATACTTGTATATAATGTCGCTTTTTTAAATAAAATTGTATTTTATTTCACACTTTGAACATCTTTATGTGTTTCAATATTTTTAATTTTGTGGAAAATTACTTAATATAATCATTAATTCTAATTGTTTTAAGATAATATGTTAGTACATCTTCTACTTTGTACTTTAGTACTTCTGAATAATTAATTTTTTTATTGTTTTAGTATATGCATGAAAATGAAAATAAAGTCTACATTGACGTTAATGAAATGGCAGATGCTTTACAAAAGAAGTATAGAGATTACCGTATTAAAAAGCGAGGTCCCTTCAGGATATTAGTGCGTAAAGCATATGATGAACTTACAGAAATGTTTGCAAAGAAATATTGTTCTCGCGAATGGCCTGCTTATGATGATGAAGATGAAGAGGAAGAAGTTGATGTCGAGGTATATATAGATATAATATTTAAGTATGATATAGTAAATTTTGAAAGAAATATATTGGTTTTAGTCAGATCCCCAAAATACTATGTTAGATGGAATGCTCTTAAAAATGTATAAAAAATCACAAAACAAACAGAATGGAAATTCCAGTGATAAGGAACTTATAGATATTAGTAGTGATGATGATGTAAGCAAAGTAGAATCAAATTCAAATAAAATAAATGAACCTGAGATTGTGGAGAAAGATCAACAGAAACCAGGTCCATCTTCGGGTACAGAAAAAGCTGTGCATGCTAAAGAAGTCGAACAACAAACAACAGTAAATTTAAAGCTTTCTTTAATAGAGTTACATTTCTTAAACTTATTATTGTTAAATATCATCTACTTCAAATATAATTTAATATGAAATCCACATCGAAATAATAGTACTGATACATGAAGCCTATTATGCCAAAATAATGTTATACCAGAGACATTACCTCATTTACTTTTTATAGCCTAGTAAAGAAATACAACAAACTACTACAGTGAGCACAGCAGCTACTACAACAACCTCAAACACAATGGTAGAATCTTCAAAGAAGCGACAACGCGATAAAGAGGGTGATAGTAGTCAATTCATGTTCATAAAAAAGGTCAAAGGGATACCAATTTCTGAATCCAAAGTCACATTTGCTGACATAGGAGGAAATGATAAAGTTTTAAAAACTGTATGTAAATTACTTGCACATATGAAACATCCAGAAATCTTTAAGCAACTTGGTATATCTCCACCAAGAGGATTTTTACTTCATGGTCCACCTGGATGTGGAAAGACTTTATTAGCGTATGCTATTGCAGGAGTAAGATACTATTTTAGTGTCAATAGTTGGTCTAGTGTCAATAATTGGTTTTATTTGACTATTTATTTAATATTTTTGAAAACTAGGAGTTAGATATACCATTATTGAAAGTAGCAGCACCTGAATTGGTAGCAGGAGTATCAGGTGAAAGCGAAGCAAGAATTCGAGAATTATTTGAACAGGCACTTGCAATAGCACCTTGTGTAATTTTTTTAGACGAAATAGATGCTGTAGCACCACATAGAGCCACAGCTCAAAGAGAAATGGAGAGAAGAATTGTTGCACAACTGTTATCATGTTTGGATGGTAATTTACTATTATAGTTAAACTACAGTAAATTACATTAATTTTAAAATAATTTCTCAAGTAGAAAATATGTTATTGGACAGAACTCAGTTTGAAAGAAAATGGTACTAGGGTATTAGTACTTGGAGCAACAAATCGACCTGATTCATTGGACCCTGCATTAAGGAGAGCTGGCCGATTTGATCACGAAGTGTGTCTGGGTATACCAGATAGAGATGCAAGAGCAAAGATTTTAGCTGTACACACAGAAAAGGTAGCACTTGCTCCAAATGTTAGTTTATCCACAATAGCTTCACTTACACCAGGTTTTGTTGGAGCCGATTTAGTTGCATTAATTAGAGAAGCAGCTATGGCAGCTATGGACAGGTAACTGTTTAAATATTCAATAAGTATTTTAAAATTAATTTATTTAATATGGTCAATTATATTTTCCTATGTTCTTATATCTTATTAGAATACTTGAAGACTTGAAGTCGGTTCCAGATAATAAATCTTCAGAAATTCCAGAAGATAGTACTGTTATTGAGAAAAAAACTGAAAGTTTTGAAAATTCTAGTAATTTAGTCGAAGAAGTAGCCATTGAACCATCTACCTCAAATCAAAATAATGTTTCTAAGTTAAATAAAACGAGTAATGCAGAGAATCATCAAGCAACTTTGGAAATGGATGTAATACAAGAAAATTCCAAATCTCCAGATTTAACAGGGTTACTTACTTGGTTGCGTAATGATCCGCCACTTCCTTCAGAAAGACTATCAAATTTATATATTGAACACGATGACTTTGAAACCGCTGTTCATATAATTCAGCCATCAGCCAAAAGAGAAGGTTTTGCAACAGTACCTGATGTTACATGGGATGATGTCGGTTCGTTAAGAGATATTAGAGAAGAATTGCAAATGGCTATACTTGTAAGTATATTTATATTGGCTTAATTAAAAATATTGGAATAATTTGATACACATTTAAAAGATATAAAATATTTTTTTTTGTTTAATATTCTAGGCTCCAATTCGACATTCCGAACACTTTATAGCGCTAGGATTAACAGCACCAACTGGAGTATTATTATGTGGTCCACCTGGTTGTGGAAAAACATTACTAGCTAAAGCTATTGCAAATGAAGCTGGTATTAATTTTATTTCTGTTAAAGGACCAGAGCTTTTAAATATGGTAATAATTTAGATGATTATAATAAATATTATAAGATGCAATTATTAAATATTTTATTTTTATTATTTCAGTATGTCGGTGAAAGCGAAAAAGCAGTTCGACAGTGTTTTATTAGAGCTAGAAATTCTGCTCCGTGCGTTATATTTTTTGACGAATTGGACGCATTGTGTCCCAGACGATCAGAAGGTGACAATTCTGCTACTTCACGTGTTGTAAATCAAATGTTGACTGAAATGGATGGAGTAGAAGGACGACAAGGAGTATTTTTAATGGCTGCGAGCAATCGTCCTGATATTATAGATCCAGCAGTATTAAGACCAGGAAGATTAGATAAGATTTTATATGTTGATTTGCCTACCTCAGCAGATCGTGTTGACATCTTAAGAGCACTAACAAAGGTAACGTTTTTGTTTTCAAAAAACATTTTAAACAAATTTGTTCTCCTTAGAAATAAACGTATATTTATAGAATGCAACCAAACCAAAATTAGCTGCAGATGTAAATCTTGAAGAAATAGGATATAATAGTAAATGTGATGGTTATACTGGAGCCGACTTAGCAGCTTTAATCAGAGAAGCTGGAATAGAAGCATTAAGAGAATTAATGGATATGCATTATTCAGGACAACCAGAAATCTCTATGCGACATTTCGTAGTTGCATTTGATAAAATAAGACCATCCGTACAAGAGAAGGTAAACACATTTGTTTCATTAATAAAAAATAAACATTCATTTTTATAAATATAGGTTAATTGCATAACAACAATACATGTATAAATTATAGGATATCAAACACTATGAAAAATTAAAAAAATTGTATTCAATTAAAAAGAAATCCGATGATACACCTATGGAAACTCCAACAGATACACCTATAGTAGATGTAGTCATGGAACCTATGGAAACGTGAAATAAAAATAAATCTGAAATAAACATGTAAAAAATCTTCCATTACAAAGTACTTTTAAGCAGATGACAGTGAATTTCACGCAAAAAATACATATTGTATGCCTTAGCCTCATTTTTGTAGTTGAGGCATTCTAGTGTCCATCTCTGTCGATCAAAGATGTAAATGTAATATATTAGATCTTAATTTACTGTTTTAAAATAAAAACTGACGATGTTCTTTATTTTTTAAGTGTAGAATATATGCAATATGGAAATGTTAATGACATTTTTATAAAACAAATCAAATTTATGTTCGATATATTTTTGAATAATGAAAATAATTTTATTTAGTTCAATGAAAAAGAATTAAGCTTACTATGTATACAAAAATTATTAAAAAAAATTTATGATTCAATTTTTGTCAATAAATAAAATTTTTTATAATTACTTATTTCATTTATTTGCCTACAAAAATAACTAATTATGATTTTATTTCTTAATATACACTTTCTTAATATACACAATATGTGTATACATAAAAACACATTGTATTTATGAAAGACATTTATGTAAATTTACTACCTACAAATATTCCAATAATATTAAAATACTTAATATATACATAATTTTCTTATACATTATATTTTTTATTCCAATTTATTACTTATAATTCATTGTTACAATATCACTTGTTTTTCAGTCTGATATAGATATAATAAGCTAAACTCCAAAAATTAAAGCCGAATTTACACTGTTTCACTTTAGAGGTACACAGTGGATGAACACCTTTCATCCTTATTTCACCCGCGGAAGAAAGCAAAGATGAAAGCAGTGTTCAACAACGATGTTAATAAACATAACAATGTAAATTCGACTTAAGAAAACTGAAATAAACGTAATAGAATATACGTCTTAAAAAACATGTAGTATACTGTTTCAAGTTATATAATACTTTAATTTACGTATAAAATAACAATGTTAGGAATAATATAAAAAAATATCTAAAATAGATTTCTTGCTGAAAAATATTTTTTAATGAAATATAACTGTTTTATAAGGCAAAATATAAAACTTATTAACTTAACAACTTCATTGTGGTACATGTGGTTCTGTTGTTCGATTTTGCACAATCCAAGGATGTCTTAAAACATCTTCTAAAGGTAATCTATGATTTGCGTCAACTACTAATAGCTAGAATAAAAAAATGAAAAGTTATCGCTTATTATTTTCATATAGCCAAACTTTTTAATTATTTAATTTAATTATTTAGTTTAATAATGCACTTTTTTATTTTACAAACATAAAATAACAGCTCACCTTAGATATTAAATTTTTTGCACCTTCACTAATAAAGTTTGGAAATTTATATTGAGCTTTCTTAATTTTTATATATGTTTCATCATAAGTTTCAGCTAAAAAAGGAGGTTTACCAACTAAACATTCATAACAAAGCACACCAAGTCCCCATAAGTCTACAGTATGATCATGTGTTTTTCCAACAACCATTTCTGGTGGTAAATAATCTAAAGTACCACATAAAGTATTTCTCCTAGATGAGGGTGCATGGACAGACCATCCAAAATCTGCCATTTTTAATTCACCCTTTATACCAAGTAATAAATTTTCAGGCTTGATATCACGATGTATCACCTTTTTACTATGACAATATTTTAAAGCATCAGCTAATTGAGATACATATGTTGCTGTTCTAATTTCATCAAAACGTTTCTCTGGTTGTGCATTCAATTCTTTAAATAATTCTCCATTTGGAGCATATTCCAAAATTAAATATACCCTTTTATCATCATGAAAATATCCATACATTTTTAAGATATTTGGATGCCTATACGAAAAATAAGAATGGTACATTTACTCTAATTCATCTTATAAAAGATATTATTTATATTGTAGCAAAAGTTGATGGAACAATCAAATGTAATTTTAAATTTAAATAAATTTTAAGATATTGAAGTTTTTATGATAACAGTCAATATTTTCTTTTTACTATAAATATTAAAACTTTTTACCTTAAATGTGTTTGAATTTCTATTTCCCTCCTAACTTGATGTTCCACATCAGCTTTTTGTATTTGTGCTTTAAATAATACTTTCATAGCAATGATGAATTTTGATTTCTTCTCTCTAGCTAGATAAACATTTCCAAATTTTCCTTTTCCCAATGGTCGTCCAATATCAAAATCAGTTAAAACCCACTTCTTTTCACTTTGACTCTTTTTATTTGTATTGCTTTGTTCTACATTCTTCTCAATGTCTTTATTTTTTTCAGTTTTATTTTCCTTGTCATCATCAGTTATATTTGATATATATGCTATCGTGTTAGAAGATATAGGTAATTTAGGTGGCGGCATCAATTCTGTTGACTTTTTAGAGCTCTTTTCTTTAATTTGTTTGATATTTGCCAAATAAGTATTGCATTGACTGTTTGTACTATTTAAATTTTCTGTATTTCTTGATGTATTCTCAGTCAATACAGAACTTACTTTTGATATCTTTAACTGTTTAAGATTATTTTCAACTTGAGAAATTGCCTTTTGTGTTTGAGACTTAGATCTCTTATCCTTCAGCATTGCTTAAATATAACCTATGATTGAAAATAGTATAAAGTATTAACAAATAGAAGTCTTTTAATAAACAATTAATTTATTACATAATGCAAGAATTAAAAATTATAAAATTATACAAAGATTCATTATATGTTAATAAAAAAATTAAAACTCTGTAAAATATATACATATTTCGCATAAAAATTTTATAAACAATATTTAAAGAATAAAGTACAATGTATTATTCATAAGGTTACAATGAATTGATATTTTAAAAATATTTTACATAATAAAAGAAACAATGTCCAGATTTTAAATAACTATATTAAGAAATTAATAACAATAACTAAAACACTTACGTTTAAAGCAAGAAATACAAATTCTCTTACAAACGTTGTATCTTCAATTCTATTTCAAAATAACGAATTTCCACACTTTATTCTCATTGGCCAGAATATTCCATCATGTATAGAAAATAAATTACAAGATATTCAACTCTATTAAGAAGTGAGAGTCATAGTTAACAGCGCTACGTATTATAAGATCTGTAAAGACCAAAAAATTCAATAATTTCAAATTAATATTAAATTATATTAATAACTAAACATAACAAAATTATATTTTTCATATATATTTTTGCACAAATCCTATTTATATAAATATTAAGAATGTAAAATAGATGTATGGGTCTGGAAGTAAATAATAACAATAAAATTTGATAAAAATCAAATTTTAGTACTAAATTAATATTTAATGTTCATATATTACTTTTAGTATCATTAATTTAAACTAAAATATGAAATACAATATATCATTATGTACATGTGTGTCAGTATAAACGGATGTAATATTTTGGGAAATATAAATAAATTTTTAAAATAATGTATTAATGTACATTTATGCATCACGATTACGATTGTAATAAACGAGAACAGCTTCTTTATAAGAATTAAACATTTGTTATTGTAGGTTAAAGTATAAACTATCACAATAAAGGTACTTTTTATATTTTAATAGCAATTTTATATTTTACTAGGAAAAATGGACAAAATATGTATTGTTTTGTATGAATTTTAAAATATTCATTTATTTGGTAAGAGTAATATATTTATTACAGTTTAACAAACATTTGTAAACAGGGTTTCTTGTATGTCTATATTACAGACCACATTTAGAAAAATATTTTATATAGAACACAATTTATATCTTTGATACTAACTTAAAATTTAATAAAACTAAGTTACTGTAAGTGGAAACGATATAGCACAGTCGTAAAATTATAAATTTTAGTGATGAACTAAAATTTATACGTTTCAAATACCGAAGTATCGAGTCTCTTGTAAGACCGTACGATATTAATTTGAAACTAAAGTATCCTTTCAAAAGTATATGTCTTAATCTTTAATTACATGTTAACTTTTATTAATACATTATTGTTATTGTGTAAGAAGTAATAGAGACTTATTGCTGTATAGTTTTGATTACAAAGATTTTAAATGAAAGTAATTTACAAATAACATTCGCAGTTCAACATTTAAATTACCTGTACAAAATGCGTACGGTCCTAGATGCGATTATATCAATGGGTGTTTCTTTTTAAAGTTTTAATTTACAACCGGACTCTATCGTTTACACCTAATATACATAGTTCATTCTAAATATGGCCATAATTTCATATGCAATGTTAGAGTAAAATTTTTGTTATTTCAAGTACAAATTAAACTTCATTATTCAAAAGTTTTTTATCAAATAGGAATTCTCCTAATACTCCATTTGTTGCTATCATTTTGCCCAAAGTTGAAATTTTTCCTGCAAGATCACGTTGACCTTTGTATTGTTCAGTTAGAAATTCTCCAGTGAGGTAGTCCACCAACTGAAATTAATCAATTTGGAACAATGAAATAAACTTAAGATTGTAATCACATGCATTTTTTCTGCAATATAACTTACATGATAGTCATTGAAGTTGCTGTCTTTTGGCTTTTCACAGTGTTTGATAATATTGCGAATCTTTTTTGTAACGTCAGTTTCTAATTCAAGAGCGTTTTTTAGAGCTTCAATACCGTTACTCCAGGTCTCGCGCAATGGTCCCAGCTAAAAACAATATTTGTATATTTTTAATTATATGATTAAATTGTACATTATAAAACATAAATTAAAATAAAATTATATTTATAATAAAATAGTTCTAAATGCACACCGAACTGATGTCTAAGAGTTTGCTAACATCGTCTGTTAAGTGACCACGCATTAACAGATATTCAATAATTTTTATTGCATGTTCTCTTTCTTCACTGGCAGAATCAAAGAAAAACTTGCTAAATCCTGGACGATTAACTGTATCACGAGCAAAATGAGCACCCTAAAATAAAGAAGAATGTATAAATATAATATTTCTCAACAAAATACATTGTAAAACAATGAAAAAATGCAATTACCATTGCAAGATAAGTCATAGCAGCATTAATCTCAGTATTCACTTGAGCTTTCAATTCATTCGTGCATGAATTAGCCATTTGCGTCCAATTCTTTGGTATATCAAATACAGATCTGGATGTACCTACAAGTATTAATTAAGTATTTATTAATGATAAAAATACATAATATATATTTTATTAAAATTTTAAATGATACATAAAGAAATAAAAACAGCTAAAAGTAATAAACGATATTTAAAAAACTATATATAACATTTTTTTACAAAATATGTTGAAATACTATTGTAACATTTCACAATACTGTAGATATATTACTTATTGAAATCATAAATAGATAATAAAGTAATGATCACATGTAATTTATCAAATCTAATGAAATCTTGTATACACTTAAGATAAAATTATATTCTCATATCTTTTATAAGTATAAAGATATATAGTTAGCTACAAATTACTTCAATTGCCATTATTTTGTTAGTGTCTAACTTTGAATATTATTTTTAATTTTTTCTGATACAATACATGTATTCTGATGTATTAATATATACAACAAATATACTATAGTAGATAAAAACGAAACTAGTATAAAAAATAATTATCATAAAATTGGAATAAATGCTAAAAGCTTTTATTTAAGGCTGAAACAAAAACCAGTTTGTGATATTATAAAATGAAGTCAATGATGTAAAGTAGGTTGGTTAGATTAAATTATCTGACTTCTCAGAACAATGTACAGTACACATTTATATTGAATGTGGACTTTAGAACAAGTAATCAATACGTTTACATTGTCACGTAAAGCTTATCAAGTGTTATCATTGTACAAATAAGATAGTCGATAATGCTTACTAATTAACAGTCTAGAATCATGAAAGTCTACTAGCTTGTTCTGAAGCTTAGAAAATTATGTATCAAATATCTTTTTAATACAAAAAGATAATTAATTTTCAAGACAAATTATTACAAATAAATACATAAAATGTAACATAATAATGAAGGATATATAGAACTTATAAAGTCAAATTTAGTTTTATTATAGTATAATTACTGGCTCTAATTGTTATATTATTTTATTAATGTATTTTGCACCTAATATAGAATAATTTTCTTTTTAGTTATATGTATAACTGTAATATTGATCATGGATTTTCAATAATGATGTACATTGAAATATTTTATCTTTGTTCATTCATATAAAGTAATAACCTTTAATTAGGTTAAAAAATATTAAGAATATAAAGAGTATAATATAAAATATATAAGATATAAAAGACATACAAAGACATACAAAATATACAAATTTTATACATAAAAATAATGTTAAATTATCTGAAATACATATTTATTTCAAAGAACACAAATATACAGTAAAAGTATATGTAACATAATAAATAATCCAATGAACGAGGAAATTAAAAAATTTATATTATAGGCATTGGATCATAATCATTTTCACAATATCTAATATATATTTCTGGTAATGTTTATACACACGAATAACGACACATTGAGAGCTATGAAATCATATTCATGACAAATAAGTTCAGTTACCTAAAATGTTCAAAAGTAAGGTGAAGAATATAAAGGAGTGTTCAGAGGATCAATATTATTGTCAATATTTAACATTCTCAACATTTTATTGACGATATATATATAGATGGTCTAGAGTCTAGGGAATAATCTCCTATATACGATAATGTTGAGAACCTTAAATATTAACAATGATATTGATTGTCTAAACGCATTGCAATATGTAAAATTATGTTCTTTCAAAATAACGGAAAAATAATATTACATGAAAATTAATGTATTAAAACATAGAATATAGAGGTAATTGATAATGTTTATAATTTTAGAACACTAATATTTAAAGCTAATATTCTTTAACTTTTAATATTGTTATTTGAAACACATTGAAATTTTACATCAAATAAAACACAAATTAGAGAAAATAATGTACAATATACATCTTCTTTACATATGTTACGTTTTAAGGAAAAGAAATTGTTTACGAGGAATACATATACGCATTAAGTTGTTGCATTGCGACACGAACAGATTATAATTATATACATATATTATTTCGCTGTATTATTAGGTGCTAATTAAAACATATCAAAATTAGTAAATATACCATACCTGCATGTTTAGCATCTTTTTAGGAAATAAAAAACAGTTTGTCCAAGGACAATACGGACTTAAAAATGGAGAGGATAAGAAATCACAATGGAATCTGTTAGGAAATACCATGCTAACCTTAATCGATGTTTTTACACAAAAATGTTAAAAGAGTATTCAAAACAAACATTGTAAGATAAATAATAGACTTACATTGAAGTTTATTTCCTAGCGATCCATTGATGCAAAGAAAAGTGACGAGGAAAATGTAAATCAGCTTCATTGTTGAATTCCTTCAGAGGCTAGAATTCGAAAAATCGCGAACGCACTTGTAATTTTACTTTTCGGGAGCAACCTTTATACGCACTGGTATAGAAGGCTGCTTTTAGTGAAGCTAGATAAGAGAACGTATGTGAACTAAACACGATGTACGATCATAGATTATTTAATAATTGACCAACAAATGCGTATCATTCGTAAGTAGTCGACGGGGACGAACTGGAATTTTCTATCCCCTTTCTATCACGCATGCGCCCTACCTATCAGCTGACTATGACTGTGTGAAAACTACCAACGAATACGGTTCTTCAACGTTCATTGTTGGAAGAACGTCGAAGCGAGAGTATTCACGTTTCCTTCCTTTGTACAAGCACATTATTTGATCAGGTATGTGAATATAGGCAATTTCAATCTCATTTATTAATGTACAAATATTTATATAGTATAAATAGAAGATAAAATTAATGCAATAATGAAAAATTTTTAATTATATGTTACTTCATTATCATTTGATATATGAGATACTGCGCATTTGTAAATGTAATAACGAAAATACCGATGTACAGCATTTGATATCTATTGATAATATAAATTTTTCTTTCTTTATTATAGGCGCGTGACATATACGTATTATATGTGCGAATTCACATCATTTATTTTGTATCTTAAGCCATATTCAGTATTCTATTCGTAACTGGGCTATCGTACATCTTTATTATCGCTTTTCAGTTATTAATTTAGCATATTCTTATAAGTGTGAAATTAGTTACACATACTATTTAAAATTTAACGTCGTTATTATTAATCACGCATTTGTAATGTACTTTGAAGTTATTAAAATTATTAAGATTATAATTCCTTAATAAACTGATATTAGAAATAAAAATGGATTTTAACAATTTTAGATAAATTAAAATAATATTAGATACTTGATCCCTTATATTTAAATAGCACAAATATTCAATATTTTATTTATTATTTAAAATTGCAGAAAACATGTTGTTCTTTGGAATATTATCCATTCTTCTGGCAGTTGCTGCTGCTGAAGATACATGCTATGATGATTCACTAGCAGTATGTGACCCAATACCAAAAGGTGATACAGAAATATTTAATATTTTAAAGACTTATACCTCTATTGAAATTTCTTTGTGCTTATAAATATATTAATATTTAAATTTTTAGATGGAAAATCAATGTTAAACTGTAATGCAAAATATGGACATATTGAAAGACATCCTCTGATTGATCTTCAATCATATGCAAATGCTAATATAAGAGTCAGCTTCGAATTTTTGCTAATGTCTAGTTATTTTGGAAATTATGAAGATCAACGTCATGGATTTAAGAAATTATATCGTAAATTTTCTGATGAATTGTGGGAGGATGCAATTAACATAATCAAATATGTTACCAAACGAGGTGACACAATGGACTTCAATCAACCACCACATTTGACAGAACCTGTATGTTGATTGTTGCACTTTATAATTCATATATTGTATAACATAAAAAGAGACAAAGATGTCAAAATTTGTTAATGTTTTATATCTTTTTTTTAGACTTACGAACGAAAAGTAACATATGAATTGAATGAACTTCACAGTTTAGCCAAAGCACTTGACAGACAAAAGGAGCTTGCGAATAAAGCCTTGAATATACATCATGACATTACAAAGAATGATAAGATAAATGATGCTGGTGTTGCTCATTATGTTGAAGAGAGATTCATAGAACCACAGACTGATCGTGTTCGAGATTTGGCCGGCTATATAAATGATTTGAAGAATTTATTAACTGGAAATGATCATTCTATAGCTCTATTTTTGTTTGATGAATATCTTAAGAATAGTTTGTAACTTGTTTACAACTGAAGTTAAAAAAACAAATCAGAATTTCATATCTACTATATTTTAAAAATTCCCTATATGAATAAGTTATGAATAAGTTATCCATAACAAAATATTTTACATTTTTCAGTTATGCAGAATTCTACATTTAAAATTAATAAATATATATGGTGTTATTTTTTGACACATTTCATCTAATAAAGTGTATACTTCATAAATCGTTTCTTTTAATTTCTACATTAATTATTTTTTATATATATTAGGAAATAACAGAGAGAAACTTTCTGAAAGAAACTCATAGTTAAAAGATTATGTTAAGACTATATAACTATATGTGATTAAGACTACATGGCTATATATAAGATAGGCTATAGTTAAGAAATGAATTTCATTAAATATATAGAAATAAAGAAGAATGTAATTTTCTTTTCCAGCATTAATGCACTTAATATATATGAAAAATAGTTCTACAGTTAGTACTTAATGTTACTAAAATTAAATTTAATTTCATATTAAGCAAATTCTATATTTCATTTTCTTTTTTGTAAAAGATATGTATAAGATGTATAATAATGAACAAACAATAACATATATTTTATTCTTCATTTTTATGAATTGGTTGTGTACATAGTATTTAATTATACCGAATATACATATGTATATATTTTTAATATGTATGTGGTATTGGAATAATTTATCATTTTAATCATATATGTGATTTTACGAAGCTGATTTAATCAATAGTGTTATTGTTATTATATATTTAAATTAACTATTACAAAATGAAGACATATTAGTGAAATATTATAATTATAATATATCCTTATAAAAACAAGAAATTATACAAAAAATTATATTTTTTTAAATTAAATTTCTATTAAAATTACCAAATAATAGTATATTATTTAATTATAACGTAAAACGAAAAGTCATGAAGTATACAAATAATGTGCTTAACCTTTTCGCTACCACGCATCACAAATATGTAACGCATTCTAAAAGCTGCTTAGACTGTTTACTTATCATTTTCCATTATTATATATGTAAAAATATATATCATATTATGTAACATGTAGAAAATTTTAAACTAGGGCTGTGAATAACGACTTTTTCCTTAAACGGCGGTAGCGAAAAGGTTAATATACTATATAAAATTATATCAAAATTGTTTCTAACAAGTAGTTTATAGTAACATTATTTTTAAATATAAAAGTTAGTATCAATAGGAACGATGATAAAAAAATGTTATGAATATAAAATATATAACATATAAATGAGATATAACATTCTTATTGTAATATTTCTTAATAAGTGTGTAAGTTTAATTAATTATTTTTAGAGTTATTTTTCTTCTAGTTTCCAATATTATTACTGAATACATAATTTTATGATACATTACTTCAATAAGTACATTTATATCTCATTTTATATAGCCCAGAGTTTATGATTTTACATGAAAGGCAATACACATGTATGTATGTCATTTAGTAATGAGCCTTTCATCATTTAGTTTTTTTATATACTACATTACTAAATTAAAATTATATAGCATTGAAACAATAAATAAATAGTATTAATATGAAAATACCATTCTAATTAAAAGAATTAGAAGCGTATTGTACATATTGATTCAGTCTAAAATATATCATAACTGAAGGCCTCGTTATTCGTATCTACTCTTTTTGTCTGAATGAAAGAAGTGATATATAATACAACTTGAATGTATCTCGATATGTCAGTGCCTGATTTGTTACTCTTTACATAAAAAGTATAAAGATAGTCTATACTAAATCACAATGATCTTTTTACATATAATAAAGATTTTTTTTAAATCTCATCTTATTAATATGTCACGTTTTTAAAGATGTTGCGTTTTCTCATATTCGGCTGTGTTTAATATCTATTACTTTTTCAATACTGTAATAGCTACTTTGTTTATATTATACATAGCATATAATGTCTCTAAATTATCTATGTAAGTGGTTACAAAAAGAAAAATGTATTCCTTCATAATCATTGGTTCCAATTTGAAGATTTCAATCCTTGTAGATAACCAGTCTGTTTTATAATAATATTTCAGTTAATTCCAGATTTTGATTAAAGTATTTCATGTAATGGTATTTATGTTAAATAATCTGAAATGATAGGATTCATATTATATAATGCTATATACATAAATGTAAGAATTACTTTATGAAGAAATGCAAATTTTGAACATTTACCTTTTTCCATCTCTGGTATCAAACACCTTAAAGTCTGTAATTTAGTATTGGTTTCACAAACTATGTGAATGTGTCTACAATAATTATTTGTAATATAGAAATATATCTAACAAGGTAATAGAAATAAATAATAAAGAAATTTTATACTTACGGCTGAAGATGTAATTCGAAGATGTATCAATAATGATGCGAGTTCAAGATCTTCACTATAATTATTTTTTAATGGGATGCTTCTATATCCTGGTCGTAAACATCGGACCTAAACATAGAAGTGTATTAAAAAATAGTAACATATTCATTTAGTAATCTAAAAATTGTAGATATTTTATACATACAGAATAAGTGGCTTGTCCAATAAAATTACTATCACCAAACATATCTTCATCCTGCACAATGAATCGTATGAAGGCGAAGTTTGGATTAAAAACTTCGAAATCGCAAGATTCATTCCACGTGGGGTTAAATCCATTATCAGCTATAATATTAATTTTACCACTGTCTATGTATCGAAATACTTAATCACAATATCACATTTTCATACTTACGTATTGTTCTCGTTGTTAATTTTATACCAGAATCAAAATCAGCTCCTATAATTTCAATTTCAATGAAAGGGCTAGCTATACCTCTTCCTGACCTAATTAAATGTCTTGCACCAATAACTTTTAAAGAAAACTTAAGTGATTCTATTCCATGTAAACAGTTTTTATCATACGGATTAAAATCATCTCTAAACATGAATTCCGGTTTTAAAATATAACCACAACTGCCGTTTTCTTTAAATTTTGCCTGATTAAGCTGCATTGATTTATCACCAGTTTGATAATTCAGTGCTACCATCTGACAACCAGCATTCCACATTGGCACAGGATTATAATTTGATGAATCGATACGTTGTCCTTTCGGATATACTCTGCTAAATTGAATCTGCAAAATTATAATTGTAAACATTCTTGTCTTCTAACTAGAAAATTAAGTCTATTGTAATTTTATATTGTTCCACCTGATGATATTTTATAAAAAACTTGTTTTCTTGCTGACACATAAGTTTCTCAGCTTTTGTCTCAGGGAAGCTACTCATTTCATTAAATACAAAACCTTTTGTTTTTATTCTGTCTAAATTAAATGCGACGGATCTACAATAAACTATTAGATTAGACATTTCTTTAGCTATTCTCCATGCACGTTCCATTTCTTTGTGTTGATTTTCCTAAAAAAAAATTAGAATGCATTTAACAGTGTAATTGGTTATTTAAATTGAAATCTTATTAGGTAATGTTTTAAAAACAAGGAAGCTTATGTATTTACTCTAACACTGGCATTTTGAGCAGTTTCTTTAATACTGGACATCCATTCTAGTGCTGTATCTTTTGAAGAAGTTGCTACTTCAAATACTGAACACATACTTGGATTTTGTATTCTTAGTATCCATTCTAATCCAGATCGACCCCCTACTCTTAATTCAACCACAGCACCCATAATGTCTAACGAGCCTTTTTGTAGGCTACCAAACATCATAGAATCTGCTGACTGAAAGCAAAAATAAGATAACATATAACTATATTTAATGATAATAATGACCTGTAAATTACTTACATCTCCTTGGCTTTCTTGCGGTTTTATTTCTTCCACGTAACTAGCAGGAAACCAATGTTGCTTTTTACCGCCGTAGTCTCCTCGCCACCAACCACCACTTTGTCGATGTACATTTGTTATTATAGCATGTTTTACTAATGTTAATTCATCATCCCTCCTTGCTTTATAATCATATATAGCTTTTACAGTCACCTTTAAAGTATATTAAATGTCTCATATATTTCGTATATGTTATTCTTTTATTACTATAACTTACTTTTGACGTAAAACTAGTAGGGTCCATATAACCAGGAATGCCATAAACAGATCCATCATCTATATCCTGAATGTAATGAAGTAATTCGATAAGATCAGAAAGTATAATTTAATAAATAAAAATGTAAAATACACTACCAATTCCATCTTTCTAATAACATCTTGATTTACAGGGTGGCTTAATTTAATTTTTTTATATAACGGGTGCCTTTCATAATAATTAACTAATTCAACCAAACTTTCAAATTGTACAGTACCAATAGTATATAAACGTCCTTCTAGTTTAATCCTGCAATGCTTAATTTTTTTCTCTGCTCTGTAACATAGTAATAGTAGATTTAAAAAATATTATTTTAAATAATAATTAATACTTTAAAAAATTTTACCTAAAAGATATAGCATAAGAATTGCTTTCTTTTTCACTTGGTCTCACTAAAAATGCACCGTCTGTAGGAATTCGTTTTAACATTTCTTCGGCTAGAGTTCGAGTACATTCAGCATGCCACCATTCTTTTTCTTCATGTTTGTTTGGTTGTGGAACAGGTTCTTGAAGCGTGATTAAAAATTCCTATTTATTTCATCACAAAATTGTTAATTAATGGAACCATGATATCAGATTTAATTACAATTTTTAATTTTGTTTATTCTTACTTGACTTCTTAATGGATGATTGCGATAATGTGTAATTAAACTATATAAACTATCAAAGCAATTTGTATCAATCAGATAATATTGTGTTTGACCCATTTCTTGTTTCAGTTTAATACGGCAATGATTTACTTTTCCTTTGCGCCAAAATGAAAGGCAGTAATCGCCCACAAATGTAACACACTGTCTAACTAAAAATGTGCCATCACCGAGGTGCGAATAACGTCGTAGTAATTCTTCTGCTTCTTCTCTTCCTCTTGCTAATTTACCGTGAAACCATTTTTCTCCAAAATGTAATTCATCGTTCGGTACTCCCTGTATTATAATCGATTATAAATATAATACAATAAAATTCCAAAATTTCACTCAAAACGTCTTTACTGTGCATACATACATCAGTCGGTCGTCGAACTACAGTTTCTTCATCATCATCGTGTTCAGTTTCTTGGGTTCTAGAAAATGTATCTGTGTAGAATAGTTTCTGTTGTGTTAATACAAAAAAATGTGGATTCCATTCTCTGTCAACAGGATCTTCAAGATAAAGAATGCCATTTTTAACTGTATTTCGAAGATCCATTTCTTGCCTACTTTCATCATTTCGAATTAGAAATGATGTTTCATCTACGCCATCAGGTAGTTTTTTATGTTTCAATATAATTTTTCTTCTCAGTGCATGTGGTGATGGTAAAGAAGTTTCATTTTTATCTACAGGTTGAACTAATAACATATCACCAAATACATCTTGCATTGTAATTGCCATTTTACGTTGTTGTGGTAAAGTACAATTATCCTCAATGGATAAAATGACAGGATAACTGTACAAGAAGTATATTTATATTTTAACCTTTAAGATAAGAAATTAAACAGACATATAGTTATACTTACTCAGAGGTAGCAAAAGCGTGCTCTTTGATGGTTTTAATAACATCTAAAAATTTAATCTTTGTAGTGAGTGTGTGCCCATGAAAAATAAAGGGCATTCCATCTGGCCCATCCCAACAATCAAGTTCTATACATCTACATCCAGCTCTTAACGCGCGAACATAAGCTTGACAACTACTTTCACTGCTAATTTGATCTCCCATTAAGTATCTGCAAGAATATTTTATGCAACTGGACTATTTATTTTTATAATACTTATTCCACTACAAAAGAAAAATCATACTTACGTATTATGTGATGACGCTATCCAATAATGTGCAAGAGGTTTAGTCATATCCTGATAAATTCGCGAATATTTTGAATCCCATATGGAATTTTGTTTCGAAAACAGGAAATCGATAAACTCCGAGAACGTAAAGTGTGGTTCCTGTACATCCCTTTGAGGATCTTGTAAATAATCTCTAATGAAACATGATACTTCAACCTCATTATTTCCTAAAGGGTCTTGTTGTTCAGTTATTAGAAAATTTTGGAACTCTTGTACTGTAACAATCTGTCCCGTTTTAGAATAATTAAGTAATTTACTCCAATCTGTAAGATTCTACAAAAATACAAAAATAGATGACACAACATATATAGATATTAGAAATATGTATTAATAAATAAAAAAACTTACACTTTGATCAAAGATGAGTTTATGATAAAGTGCAACAAAATCATCAAAGCCAAGTTCATTTCTGTTTCTTGTATCTATTTCTTGAAAAAGTTCCCTAAGTTTATTCGTTGCTGTTTTACAATTAACTCTAGGTAAAAATGCTTTTATATCTTTTAAAGTAACTCTATAAAATATGAAATATCAAATTAAATAATCTCAAAAATAACTTAAATTTATAAATAAAAATATAATTTTTTACGTTTCCCTTGAATTTTCCATTGCATAAAATTCTTTTCTTAGCCATCTTTCAACTTGTAAAGGATAAGGAGCTTTTATAGTATCTTGAACCAACCGACGTAATCCTTTTACCCAAAGTTCACATTCTTTTTCACTGAGAGCTGAAATGAATATATAAAAACAGCCACTTGTAAAATTATAGTATAAATGATATTTATGTAAGAAATAAAAACTTAAAAATAAATTTTACCAGAAATTGAAAGAGTTTTAAGGCGAAATTCAGAACCATAATATACAACAAAACATCTAAGATTTTCTATCCTTTTTGCATCTTCTGGCCACTTCTCAAAATCTTTAGAATGCTTCCCCACTTTAATTTCTTTGATTTCTCTTATTTCGACTAAAATCAAATGACAAAATGTTGTTTAATGCATTTAGTAGTGTATGTAACATATCAAATACAAAAATAGAATACAGTATATATGTCAACTACATACATATATATATTATATATATTATATTGTGAGTACATATATATATAATATTGTATGTTAATATAATGTGCAAAAATATGCTTTTAAACATTAAGCATTTGAAGAAATAAAAGCAGCTTTAGAAAGTATTTGTATTTTTTTAATTATTCTGTTACATATGCATGTTCTGCTGTAATATATGCAAACAGTGCATAATAATAAAAGCTTTGAGTTTAATCAAATACCCATGCTATCCCATAGGGCTGATCCAATATATCAACAGTATCCATGGGCAGATTTGTTTGTAGACCAAAAATGAAGGAAATGTCCACCAAGATATGCATATATATTTGTATATTTAATTCAATATCAAAATGGATAATAACCAGGCCAGAAAAAAATGGTTTAATTTAATATGAGATATAAAACATGTATATAAAAGCTTATGAGATGCAAGTCATTAACTGATTTAGATTGTATCTTTGTCATAAACTCACCCATATACATTATTCACAAGGACCTTTCCTTCAGGTTTTTGACCTATAAATAGTATCCTCAGATAATATTTTGCCCATTTTTGCTGTAGATATATCTTCATAACCATGCAAAATGTGTGCCTAAAATGTTAGGTGAAAATTTATTTCAATTGTATATTGTTGTAGGATAACTATTTTTTGGATGTATAAAATTACACATTTGTTAGTCTTCTTATACATTTTCAATCAATTTTTATTTTTATTAGTAAATTAGTAACGTTTCTTTTGGATTACAAAATAATGTTGTTGCAATAAATTATCTACTAATATCTTCAAAAGCTAAAGTATTTTTACCTGAACCATCAAATGGTCTAAACGTTGCACTCCGTGACCATACGATTTGTCTAGTTTCTCTTCTTATCATAAGAGTTTTCTTTTCTGGTCTTTTTCTTGAAAAAAATTTTGTTACTACAGTTCCCCTTTCAAGTTGACTAATGATTTGTTCCATTTCAGGTATTATACCATTCATGTTTAAAATATTATAGGTTTGCTATAATAAATCATACATATTTCATATAACTAGATTCTATGTATGGTTCATAAAATTAAAAAATTTGATGCAATAATAGTTTAAAATAAAAGAATTAAGAGGAAAAATTTTTAAAAAGCTCTATTATAGTTTTCCCATTTAAATTGACATATAATTATTTTAAAAAGGTTCTGGATCAGTCTATATTACTTTTATATAATAAAGAAACTAAATTGACATAGCTTTTGTTATGCTTTAAATTAATGTAAATATTATATATTAATCCACAGA